AAAGTAGAGCCTAACATCATCTTGGAGTACAACGACTGGATCAAATCAATAATGGAACAAGGAAGAGAAAGGGTACCATTGGTCTCCGTTAGTCTTGAAGAGCAGAATGAGAAATTAAGGAAAGAATTGGAGGATCATCAGTTGCAGATCATGGTGGCCGATCAAGCGTTGGAAGATGCCCGATCACAATTGAAGAAAGAGGCAAGCAAAACCGAGAAATTGGAGAAGGCCTTGAATGCATTTGGTAAAATCCAAGATGAGATTCGGAAACTTAGCATCGGGAGTTCTAGGGAATCCCAACACACTAGACTAGCTAGACATGAAGATTTTGTAAGAATGGTCAGTCGAACCATCAATGAGATTGTAAAGAAGGATTGAGTTCATCCATAATTAATGAGAATTCCTACTTTTATATTCACTGACAGGTTTGAAATTGGGGTTTTACCCCGAAGGTATAGCATCATGTTAGGCCCACCCTTGGCACAAAAAGGGCTCCCCAATAGGACATGCATCCGAATTTTTTTTGGGATATTTACTAACTCTTGTCTTTTTCTTTTTCTTTATTTTATTTTTGCTAGAAAAGCTAACCGAGGGCTAAGATCTAAAGGCAGGTCATTTCATATTTTCAGGTAATATTTAAATATAGCTTCCCGTCGAAACCCCATCATAACACGATCCCGTAGTCAATCCCAGAGGAGTCATGTAAACATGAGTTCACAACCAGAACCATCGGATAGGTCTGCTACTACCGCTCAACCTGAGACTACGAGTTTAGGGGTTCAGCTAACCGAGATACTTACTAAGTTTGGTGAGATGGCTACTAAGATGGCGGCCCAAAGAAAATTGATTGGTGAGCTTATCAGCAGCGGAGTTCAACCCGAGCCCGTACCCGTCAGACAACCTGAGCAGGAACCATTTGTCATACCTTCGACCCAAGCCACCGTTACTCCATCATTCCCTATTCCACCCGAAGAAACTTTCACTTATCCTACCTCAAATTTGCCACACACTTACCCTCCCAATCCTTCATTTTTTCCTACTCACATTCGAGGTCCACAACCCCACGTCACTTCAAATGTACCACCTGAGCCACATACCTTTTATCACACTACTGTTGAGCCCTTCCTGCCAGACCATATTGTTCAAACCAAACCAGAGATGGGAGAATCTTCTGCTCCCATTGATATGAAGCTGCTCAAGCGCCTAGACCGTTTCGATGAGTTTATGAGGAAAAGTCAGGGGTTGAACAAGCAAGGAGTCCTGGATTACGATGAGCTTTGCCTTTTTCCGAATGTGCAGTTGCCCGAGGGGGTTCAAAACCCCTAAATTTAACAAGTATGATGGGACGGGTAATCTCAAAACACACCTCCGACTGTTTGCCAACAAGTTGGGAAAGCCCGTAGACAATGAGAATCTGCCTCTAAGGCTGTTCCCAGAAAGTTTGGAGAGGGATGCACTCGACTGGTATTCCAATCTGAAACCCGAAGAAGTAAAGACCTGGCTTGACTTGTCCAATGCTTTTGTGAGACAGTACGAGTATAACTGCGAGTTGGCTCCGACGCGAACCACGTTGAAAGGAACAAAGAGAAAACCCTCTGAGGGCCATAAGACTTATGCCAAGAGATGGAGAAAAATAGCTACAAAAGTTGAGCCACCAATGACTGAGGACGAAATTATCCGCACTTTCATTAAAGCACATGATCCGCCATACTTTGAAGAAATTTTCCGCATGACTGGATGCTCATTTGCTGCTATTGTCGATAAACTTGAAGAGTACGATGACTTCGTAAGAGTTGGGAAGATCATTAATGTCTCTGCCCTCAAATCGCAGTTGGATGCTTTACAAGGACAAGGGAGTAGTGGGAAAAAGCCGCAATTTAAAAAGAAAGAGGGGGAAGCTGCCTTTATCTGGGACCAAAACCCTATACCAAGACCTAAATTTCAACACAAACCAACATATCCACCACCGTATCCCTACTATCCAAGTTCTCATCCTGTCTACACTACCAATATCTCCTACCCCCGACCTCGCCCGAATTACACTAACCCGCCTACGGCCCCTTTCCAAATATCTCAACCTAACTTTCAACAAACTCGTCCTCGACCTCCTTACCACCAAAGATTTTCCCCACCAAACAAACCTACCTACAACTATCCCCAACCTATTGAAACCTACAATCAAAATCGTGCCCGAACGTTCACCAACCTAGACAAGCCTTTGGATCAGTTATATGAGCAATTAAAGGTTGCCAGTAAAATAGGCGTGATTCCCCCTCCAACTTACCCTTATGGCATGCCTGCTGGGTACAATCCACAGGCTAATTGTGCTTATCATTCAGCGGCACCTGGCCACTCTACTACCAAATGTCGACTCCTCAAACATAAGATTCAAGACATGCTCGAAGCAGGGGAAATTGTGATTAGGAAAAGAGAAGAGCAAGGACCAAATGTGAGCAAGAATCCTTTGCCAGAACACGCTGATACTGTCGGAGTTATTATGGATGATAAGGAATTTGAAGAGCTTGTTCGAAGCATGTCAAATGAAACAGAAGTGTTCGGGATAATGGATCAGCCTTTTGTGATAGAAGAAGTATCGTATGAGGAAGACAAAAGCCCTTCATTTTAGACCTAACCCCATTCGAAAGTGCGGCTTTAGAACCTGTAATAATTGAGTTCTCAGAACAAATGCCAGTTTTCAGCTTACGGCAGGTACCATGGAGTTACAGTGAGCCCGTTTTGCAAATCGGGGGTAAACAAGTTTTGAAGGAAGAAGTGTCTGCTGTCACAAGGTCAGGAAAAATCGCAAGCTCATCTACTGCTGGCATCCCAGTCAAAATAAGCAATCATGAGCCGACTACCAAACCCGCAGTAACTGAAAAAGAGGCATGGGATTTTCTCAAGAGGCTTAAGAGAAGCGAATACAATGTGGTTGAACAGCTGAACAAAATGCCTGCTCAAATTTCCATATTAGACTTGCTTTTCTCCTCCGACTTGCATAGGGATGCGTTACTTGAAGTTTTGACTAAGACTCGGATTCCCAAGGATATTTCGGTTGACAATTTCTCGCACATAGTCGGAAATGTATTGACTGCTAAACAAATCACTTTTTCTGATGAAGAGCTGCCTGCGGAAGGAACTGGTCATAACAAAGCCTTATATGTAGCTGTGAGGTGCAATGGACAAATATTGCCTAAAGTACTGATCGATAATGGGTCTGCCCTCAATATTTGTCCCTGGAGCACTCTGGTGAAGTTAGGGCTGCAAGATGTTAAATTAAAACCCTTAGAGACTGTAGTTCGAGGATTCGATGGAGCCCAAAGGGAGTCCATAGGAGAAGTGAATTTGGTACTCGAAATGGGGCCCGCTCAATTTCAGATAGCCTGCCACGTTATGCACTTTCCCAGTGTCTATAATGTTTTACTCGGGCGGCCGTGGATTCATAGCTCTGGCGCTGTACCCTCTTCCCTGCATCAAGTACTGAAATTTGTGGTGAATGACCAGCTGATAACCATTTTTGCTGAAGAAGATTGCATTGTAATTGCCGATTCCGAGCCTGAGAAGGATGGTAATCGAAATGTTTCAGTGTCTTCTTACCGTACAGCTGATATTGTCTCCGTGAGTTGGATAACAAGTGAGGATTCAAAAGATAAAATGTTTTCGCCAGCGGCCAGTGTCATGATGGCCAAGGAGATGATTTGCAGAGGATATGAATTTGATAAGGGATTGGGACGCAATCTGCAAGGCATGCTGAAGCCCGTGGAACTCATTGAAAAGAATGACCTATTTGGTTTGGGATTCCGTCCGACTGCCAGAGATATACAAGAGATGAAAGCACGCAAAAGGGCAGAAAAAAAGGCAAACAAAGTGCTTTAGACATTCTGCCATTACGCTACACCTTTCCAAAACCAGCTGAGGTCATTACATCCGAGTTTAGCCCAATTGACGAAGTGGAAACAAGTCATTTGTTTGTGGGAGCAATATCCGAAAATGACCCGTCAGATGATGCTGAATTCCCAGACATTCCCCAAGGAGCTATACACAACTGGACCGCCGAGTACTTTCCCATGCGAAAGGAGTTTCGGTAAATCTACAGGGGGTTGTCATTTACCAAAGTTCATGAAAAATGTTTCTTGCATATGTAAATAGTTTAATCAAAGCATCTTTAGCAATTAGACTTTTGTCTCATTTCACTTTGATTTGAAGTTTTATGAAAATGCACAAGTAGTTTTATCACAATTGTTTGTTTGCTTGTTTATTTGCGTGTTTTATTTGCTTATTGCCTTGAATTTCTTAATTCTTTCAGATGGCCAAAAATAAAATTATTTGACCCTATGGATATCACTGTTCTGGAATCCAATGATGACAATCTCTATATCACTCACGACTTGAAAATTATGCAACCTGAATCGCAAGATGAGAGTGATAATGAGGAGGTATATGATTTTTTCTCAAAAGATCTTGAACAATATGAGGAGAAACCTAAACCGAACCTAGAAGAAATAGAAATTGTCAACATTGGCACTGAGACTGAGATTAAGGAGATGAAAATCAGCATTCATTTGAACGAAAAGCAGAAAAAGGAGATGATTGAGTTTTTGTCTATGTTTCAAGACGTATTTGCATGGTCTTATGATGATATGACTGGCATTTCAACCGATATAGTGGTGCACAGATTACATACAGACCCAAATTTTCCACCAGTGAAGCAAAGGCCCCGTAAATTCAAACCAGACATGAGCCTCAAAATAAAAAAGCAAATTGAAAAGCAGCTTAAGACTAATATTATCATTGTATCTCATTACCCTATTTGGCTCTCAAATCCAGTCCCTATTCCGAAGAAGAATGGAGAAGTACGAGTCTGTGTTGATTATAGGGACCTTAACAAAGCCAGTCCGAAAGATGACTTTCCTTTGCCAAATATCCACATCATTCTGGACAACACGGCCTGACACGAAATTGAATCTTTTTATGATTGTTTCGTTGGATACCATCAGATCTTAATGGCTGAAGAGGATAGAGAAAAAACTGCTTTTATCACCCCTTGGGGCACATTTTGCTATCGGGTAATGCCATTTGGTTTAAAGAATACCGGAGCTACTTATCAAAGGACTATGACTACTTTGTTTCACGATATGATCCACAAGGAGATAGAGGTTTACGTGGATGACATTATAATCAAGTCCAAAAAAGCAGAAGACCATTTGATTGATCTAAGAAAATTGTTTGAAAGGTTGCGAAAGTACAATTTGAAACTAAATCCTGCAAAATGCGCCTTTGGAGCACCAGCTGGTAAACTGTTGGGATTTATTGTCAGCAAAAAGGGCATAGAGCTAGACCCGGCAAAGATCAAGGCAATTCGAGACATGCCAGTGCCAAAAACGCAGAAAGATGTGAAAAGTTTTCGGGGGAAGATTAATTTCATTGGAAGATTCATTGCCCAATTAACAGCTACGTGCGAGCCACTATTCAAGTTGTTAAAAAAGAACGTGCCGTTGCATTGGAATGGAGAGTGCCAACAAGCTTTTGACAAAATTAAGGATTATTTATTGCACTCTCCAGTCCTAGTGCCACCCAAACCGGGCCGGCCTTTGATCATGTACTTATCCGTGCTCGACGGAGCAGTAGGTTGTGTTCTGGGGCAACACGATGATTCCGGCAGGAAGGAGCAAGCCATATACTATCTTAGCAAGAAATTCACTCAGTATGAGGTTCATTATTCATTTATCGAGAAAAGCTGCTGTGCATTGGCCTGGGCAGCTCAAAAGTTGAGACACTACCTGTTAAGTCACATCACTTATCTCATATCCCGCTCTGATCCTTTGAAATACCTCTTGGAGAAGCCGATGCTAACTGGGCGTTTGGCCAAATGGCAAATGATTCTTTCAGAATTTGATATTGTTTTCACTTCGCAAAAGGCCGTCAAGGGACAAGTTATAGCCGATCACTTGGCAGAAAATCCAAACGACGATGACTATCAACCGCTCCATACTTATTTTCCCGATGAGGAGGTTTTACTTGTTGGTGTGGCAGAAGATATGAGCGAGTTGTACCCTGAATGGAGGTTGTTTTTCGATGGTGCCGCTAATTCTTTAGGAGCCGGAATAGGAGCAGTTCTCGTATCTCCAGAAGGGAAGCATTACCCTGGGGCCGCTAAATTGCAATTTCCCTGCACAAACAATATGACTGAGTATGAAGCCTGTATTTTTGGTCTTAAAATGGCTTTGGAAATGGAAGTTAAGGAGTTGATGGCCTTCAGTGATTCAGATTTACTCGTACACCAAACATTGAAGTAATAGATAACTAAAGATTCAAAGATCCTGCCATACCATTGTAATTTGCTCAATTTGGCTAAACAATTTCAAGGTTTAGAATTCAGACATCTCCCGCGAGCTCGAAATGTATTTGCCGATGCTTTGGCCACCTTATCTTCTATGATACAATATCCGGACGAACTAGGAATTGAGCCTATCCGGATCCAACTTCAGGACAAGCCTGCTCATTGTTGGGTCATAGACAAAACATCTGGCGAAAGCCCTTGGTACAATGATATTAAGGAGTTTATCAAAACCGGGTCTTATCCTCTAGAAGCTAGTGCAAATGACAAGGGTTTCTTGCGCAGAATGGCCTCGAAGTTTTTCTTAAATGGAGAGGTATTATATAAAAGGACTTCAGATTTGAACCTTTTAAGGTGCATCGATGAAGACGAAGCTCAATACATGATGAAAGAGGTACATAGCGGTGTTTGTGGACCTCACATGAATGGACATTTGTTAGCCAGGAAAATCATGAGAACTGGGTACTTTTGGCTTACCATGGAGCGTGATTGCATAGATTTTGTCCGGAGATGTATTAAATGTCAAGTGCATGGTGATGTTATACGCGCTCCTCCCACCGAATTGCATAGCATGGTTGCACCATGGCCCTGCTCAATGTGGGGTATGGACGTGATCGGCACAATTGACCCTCCTGCTTCAAATGGACATCGATTTATATTGGTGGCAATTGAATATTTTACCAAGTGGGTCGAAGCGGAATCATTCAAGCATGTGACAAAGAAGGTGGTGGCAAATTTCTTAAGAGATCATATCATATGCTGATTTGGGGTGCCAAAAACATTGATTACAAACAATGCCAGGAATCTCAACAATGACATGGTGGACGGGCTATGCGAACAGTTCAAAATCAAACATCGCAACTCCGCCATTTACAGACCGCAGATGAACGGAGCCGTGGAGGCCGCAAACAAGAATTTGAAGAAGATCATTCGTAAGATGACTGAAAAGCATCGTGACTGGCATGAAAAGCTCCCTTATGCACTAATGGCGTATCAGACTTCTATCCGAACATCAACTCGGGCAACACCCTACTCGCTTATATATGGAATGGAAGCTGTGCTACCTGCCGAGGTCAAAATCCCTTCATTGCGTATTCTAATGGAGACCAGGTTGGGAGAGGCTGATTGGATAAAGCAGCGTCATGAACAACTATCTTTGATTGATGAAAAACGGCTTAATGCTATTTGTCATGGTCAATGTTACCAAAAACGCATGGCCCGGGCCTACAACAAGAAGGTCCATTTGCGTACATTTGAGGAAGGCGACAAAGTGCTGAAGCGGATTTTGCCAGTGCAAGATGAGGCCAAAGGCAAATTTGCTCCGAATTGGCAAGGGTCATTAATTGTTCAAAAGGTATTACCTGGCGGAGCACTCATTTTGGCAGAGATGGATGGGCGGACATTCCCTCAACCTATCAACTCAGACATGTGTAAGAAGTTCTTTATTTGATTCTGCAAATTCCTTTTAGAACTCACGCAAGTGACGAGACAAAAGTCAGGCCATCTTCCTTTTCAATCAAAATATTTCATCCCTAGTCATCCCCTTTGAGCTGTCAGAGCAACAATCTTCGTTTGGCAACCCCTGAGAATTGCAAACCCCATACTGGGGCAAATTTATTTTGAAAGAGAGATGGAAAAGCAAAAGAAGAAAGAACCTCACACTGGGGCAAATTTAGTTTTTAAAAGAAAAATGCAAAAATGAGGAAATGCAATGAAAATGCAAAGAGAGAAAAATCCCAATCGAACTGGGGCAAATTTTCCTCAGTGTCGTTCAGAATTGGAGATATTTTCAAAATGATGCAATCTCAGGCTATTTCACACTTTTCAAAAAAAAAAAGTTTTGCTTTCAAACCTCAACTTTCTTGAAAACACCCCACCTGACCTCATTACAAAGGCCCAAAAGTCCTAACTTTCGTCATTTGCTGTATTTCTATTAGGGATTTCGCTAATCAACTGGCAAGTGATGTCCGTAATGCCTTCACTTAAGCTTATAAGGGAAGCGCGTTTTACTGATGCCAGAAATCTTCAATTCACACTCCTGAGTCGATCATGGTCGAGCTTTTCTATTGTTCCTTAGGTGAAAACCCGAAAGGGCACCTCAAAAAAAAAAGAGAGAAAAGAAGGAAAAAGAGAAAAAGAAAGAAAAAAGAGAAAAAAACAAACAAAAAGGAAAAGAAAAAAAACAAACAAGGGTGGGGGCAACCTCGGTGAAAACCCGAAAAGGCGCCAAGATAGGGTTTTTGCAATGAGCGAGCACGAGGAGGAACAGCTGGTGACTTGGTTCATTTGGATTTCTCCTCATTTTTGTAATACTTCTGCCAACGTTGAATTCCAGAACAAAGATATCCAGGGTTTCAAACATGACATCTGTTGGCCGAAAGTTGTGTCACTGTGTAAAAAAATACTCTTTTGCAAATACATTCTTAGGAAGCTCATTCTTAGGTATGTGTTGCATTCTTGTGTATTTTCATTCCTGCATGACATGTGAATTTTCTTACATACCTCATTTTATTTTTAAATCCTTGAGTTTGGTGAATAACAATCCCCGTGGGTACTTCAAAAGCATGCTTGAATTCGGTCATCTTTTGGGAACAGTTGAAATTCAGCAAAGCCAGCTTCGCCGACTTCACAGTATGGAAAAACACATACCTGGTCAGTTTGAGAAATTAAAAAGTTTTGGAGCGAGAAATCCAATACAATCGGCTGCTGCAGCGAAAGTTAGCGAAGAAGGAAGAAAAGGCATTAAAAAACTCATGTTTACACAATTCTCAAAGGAAAACGGATCAAATGATGGCGGCAGTTTCTTTGTTTTTCTCTTTTGCAGAAAATTGCAAGCACAGATGAAAGCAATCACACCTCATACTGGAATTGGTGTCGAAAAGAGTTCTCCAGTGAACAAAGGCGAATCGAGAATGTTCCAAGCAAATTTGGTTAAAAGGTACACCAACATGGCAATGCATGATCAACCATTGGCTCAGAGGCAAAAACCTAACTTCTACTGAAGATTTGGGCTATTGTCAGGTAAGTATACTGGAATGTCCTGATTTTTAAACTTCTTGTCTCGGGTCAGTCCCGATTTTAAATTTCCTGTTTCGGGTTAGTCCCGATTTTGAGTTTTCTGTTCGGGTCAGTCCCGTTTAAATTTCCTGTTTCGGGTCAGTCCCGATTTTAAAATTTACTGTCTCGGGTCAGTCCCGATTTTAAATTTCCTGTCTCGGGTCAGTCCCGATTTTAAGTTTTCTGTTCGGGTCAGTCCCGTTTAAATTTCCTGTTTCGGGTCAGTCCCGATTTTAAATTTCCTGTTTCGGGTCAGTCCCGATTTTAAGTTTTCTGTTTGGGTCAGTCCCGTTTAAATTTCCTGTTTCGGGTCAGTCCCGATTTTAAATTTCCTCCGGTCAGTCCCGTTTAAATTTCTGTTGCGGGTCAGTCCCGATTTTAAATTTCCTGTCTCGGGTCAGTCCCGATTTTAAGTTTTCTGTTCGGGTCAGTCCCGTTTAAATTTCCTGTTTCGGGTCAGTCCCGATTTTAAGTTTTCTATTCGGGTCAGTCCTGTTTAAATTTCCTGTTGCGGGTCAGTCTCGATTTTAAATTTCCTGTCTCGGGTCAGTCCCGATTTTAAGTTTTCTGTTCGGGTCAGTCCCGTTTAAATTTCCTGTTTCGGGTCAGTCCCGATTAATGTCCTGTTTCGGGTCAGTCCTGATTTTAAATTTCTGTTTCGGGTCAGTCCTGATTTTAAATTTCCTGTTTCGGGTCAGTCCCGATTTTAAATTTTCTGTTCGGGCCAGTCCCGTTTAAATTTCCTGTTCGGGCCAGTCCCGATTTTTAAATTTCTTATCTGGGTCAGTCCCATTTTAGAATTTTGTTAAAGGGGTCAGTCTCCATTTCTAAAGTGTCCGTCGTTCGAGACGTTCGCAACCGAATAACACAGTTGAGTATTTGGTGTCTACTTCTTTGTCTCAAGTTTTTTCAAAACTCAGACAAAGAGGGACAAACTGTAGACACCAAATTTTTTATTTTTACATTTTTATTTCTTTAGTTAATTTTTAGTTTTAAGTGTTTCAAATTGAAGTTTATTTTATTTTTATTTTTATTTTTATTATTTGTGCTTTTATACTAAATAGCGAAAAAAAAGAAGAAAAAAGAAAGGAAAATCCTCACAAAATTCAAAAAGTGTGTTTTCACTCTTTAGATTTGGATTTTAAGCACTTTAATGGCAATAATTTTTCTATTAAAGAATTAATTTCCATTAAAAAAAAGAAAGAGAAAAGATGCCGTTTCATGCAAGAGTGCAATCGGATGGCCAAGGGAGAAGGTTTGAGATGAGGTTGGTTTGTAACCATTGAAATGAGGGTTTAGGATTTTTTACTTAATATATAAAGGCTGGGAAAAGAAACCGCAGCCAAAAGGGGGGAAAGAGAGAGGGAGTAACGACAGAGAGGTTTTGGCGTGAGTCGAGAGCAAGAAGGAGAGACCGAGGGAACCAGGAAATCTGGGAAGGAGAAGCTGCAAAGAAAAGAACCAAATCAAGGGAAAAGAGAGGGGAGTAAAAGCTGGGGTTTTAAGAAAGGGGTTATGGCTAGGGTTTGAAGGAGAAGAGGTAGCTGCGGGAGAGAAGGAGAACGAAGACTTCATCTTTTGATCAATCAAGCTTCGGCTAAGAGAGAAAGCCGAGAGGGAAAGGAGAGCGCTGAAAAACTAAAGCTTTTCCCGGATCAGGTCCTCCCTTTCTTTTCTTTCACTCACTGATCTTGCCATTTCAATTTCTTGTTCCTGTTTCAGTCCACTGCTTCTGTTTCTTTGCACGTTTTCCTCAAGTCATGATATTAGTCTGTTTTACGCTTCATTTGCGTTTTTTTTAGTGTTTCTTTAGTGCTGATGAGAATATAAAGACCAAGGCCCATTCAAGTACATGGGGAATTGGAAGATTCAAGTGAAGACTAGTTGATTGCACGAATGCTTGAGTTTAGTAGGATTATTTGATTTTCCTCGTTGATTTTGGTTATTTCTCGCTTTAGAAAGTCTAGGTAATTAAGCTAGTTTAATTGCGGCCCATTTGTTAGTAAATAAGGCCCAAAATCTTTCTTAAGTATGTAGGGTAGTTTGGTCAACTTTTTGGATTAGGGTTAATGCTTGTAAGGGCTATAAATAGCCCCACTTCCTCTTTGTTTCATATCCGTTTTTGGCTATTAAATACAATTAGTGAGTTTTCACTTTCTCTTTGGCAAGAGAGTTTCCTTTGAATACTTGAGAATCTTCTCAAGTTATTCACCTGAACTTATCAATCGAGTATCTCCTTGATTGTGGCGTTCTACTACCTCCAATTTGGTTCGTTAATTCGAGTAGTGACGGGTTGAGATAATATCAAAATTGTTCGTGACTTCTAGGGATTAGTTGGGTCAAATTTCCGCTGCTTAAGCCATGGTGTTTTGGTTGTCTAGATCGGGGTTTCACATCAGTTGGTATCAGAACTAGTCAACAACCACCAGGTTATATCTTTTTTTTTCGTGTATTTTGAGTCATATATGTTTATCCCAATCTGTTCATTTGTTTAGAACAAAAAAAAAAGAAGAGTCACTGTTCACCGGTACTGTTCACACCAACACTGTTCACCGTTTACTGTTCACCGACACTGTTCATAGTTACTGTTCGTCCGAATACAAATCTGTCCAGCCTTGTTGTTTGTGTTATCCAACTTGTTTACTTAGTTTTCAAATCTGGATTTTGGCAAAACTTGTTGGAATTTTGTGAATCTTGAAGAGAACT